AGAGAGAGAGAGAGAGAGAGAGAGAGCAGGACACTGTCCTCCGGCCTAGGCCAGGGGTGGGTCTGTTTGTGCGTGTGTGTTTGCATGCACAGCGCTGCAAACACTAGGTACATGTACCACACACACACACACACACACACACACACACACACAAATGCTAACACACACACACACACATGCATGCAAACACAAACATACACATGCATGCATGCAAACACACATGTACAAACAGACCCACCCCTGTCCTACCTCTTTCCTTGACATTTTTTTAAATATCTTGCTCACTTTAAAAAATATTTTATGTGTGTTGGTGTTTTGCTTACATGTATGTCTGTGCACCGCATGTGTGCCTGATGCTCAAGGAGGCCAGAGTTGCAGATGATTGTGAGCCACCATTTAGATGCTGGGAGTCAAACCCAGGTCCTCTGGAAGAGCGACCAGCATTCTCAACTCGTGAGCCATCTTTCCAGCCCTCTCTTGCTCACCTTTAAACAAGTGTCAACTGCATGTGCTGATGGGGTTAAATGTGGTTTTGGGCTTTGAGACTGTCACGTGTGACTCAGGTTGGCCTCAAAGTCTCCATGTGGCCCAGGGCGATCCTCCACCCTCACCTCCTGAGCGCTGCTCTCTGAGGTATGCATCATTTTGCCCAGTTTTCCGTGGTGCTGGGGATGGAGCCCAGGGCTTCTGGCAGGCTAAGCTCTCTCCCACCTAACCCACATCCCAGCCCCCAGTGTGGCAGTTTTCTGCTTGCTGCGTTTGTTACCTGCCGTCACACAGCTGGACTGACTAACTGACCCGACAAGAGGTGAAGGAAGGAGAGGCTCGTCTTCACTCACATTTCGGAGGGTTCGCTTGATTCCGTTACTTGGCCCTATGCACTTGGCGTACCTGACAGCAGGAGAGTGTAGTGGAGGCACCTGTTTGCTTCATGGTCGACAGGAAGTGGAGAGAGAGACAGGAGGGGCCCGGACAAGGGCCCATGTGCAGAGGCTACTTCCTCTAGCTAGGTCCACCTCTGAAATAGCCCCCCAGCTGGTAACCAAGCCTTCAGCACACAAGCCTATAGGAGGCAGGTTACCCCCGACAGTGACACCGTCAAGGGTACACACTGACCACACCCAGCCACAGCAGCCGTTGGGAACCGGTGTTCTGCCACCTCCACGTTGCATTTCTTGGTTGGTTCCCACATTGGAGGCAAAGTGCAGACACTTGTATTTCTGCGTCTGCGTTATTTAACTTGCCGAGTCTCCTCCAGCTCCATACGTGTTGTCACCAATGACAGCACTTGATTCTTGGTGACCAAGTAATACTCCACCGGGTACTTATGTCACAGTTACTTTTTTCCATTCATGCTCTGACGAACGTCTAGACTGACCTCCTATCTTCGAGGTAACGGCTTCTATATTAGATGCGCTGGCTTCATTTCCTTCTGCTGGATACCCAGCACCCAGACAGCTGGATCATCTGCAGTTTTGTCTTCAGCTTTCTGAGGACCCTCCATCCCATTCTCCATAGGGACAGGACTCATCTGCATTCCCGCCTACTGTGCGTGAAAGCTCCATTTGCTTTCAACAATGAAGGGTGGACGTTATTGGAAAATGAGTTGGGTATTACTGCTGGGAGCTCAAGGCGGGAGCCGGGGAGGTCACCAAACTTGAAGAATGCTAAGCAGCATCACTGTGACCTTCAGCCGGTTACAGGGATCACAGGAAACAACCGGGAGTGGACAAGGGTGAAGCACCAGGTATGCTTCAGGAAGGGGCGTCTTTCCTGATGCTAGGTGCACCTTGGGTTAGGAGCCATTTTGGTCTGGTATTTAAGGAGGCTGTTAGGCCGAGAGGGAAGAGCCCCAGTGTCACATCCTGTGGCAGGCAGTTCTCTTCCTCCCTTCCTCCCTTCCTCCCTTCCTCTCCAAGGCCCCCTCCCCCACCACTGCCTTTCATGCTTCTGGATGGATAAAAGCTAGAAGTGTGTCCTGGGACATCTAAGGAGAAGTAGACTGGAAAGCTGGGCTGCGGAGACTGCCTAGAGTGGAACACTTGATGCATGAGCATGAGGAACGAAGCGCCAAGCCTTAGGACAGAGGTTCTCAACCTGTGGGTCGCAACCCCTTTGTGGGTCAAACAGCCTTTTCTCGGGGTCACCTAAGACCATCGGAAAACACAGATATTTATCGCTGGGGGTCACCACAGCATGAGGAGCTATATTAGAGAGTCGCAGGATTACCTTAGAGCCTACCCAACCCTTGGACACAGCAGAACATCTGTAGCCCGGTGCTCCCACGGTGAGCTGGGGGATGGAGATCGAGAGTTCCCAAAAGCTTGTGAGCTCACTAGCTACTGGCACGGCGGCAGCAAACAAGGTCTCGTTTCAGATGAGGTGGGAGATGAGGACCAACACCCGAGGTTATGGCCTGACCTGCATGCGTGTGTCACAGCAGGCACACGCCCATGGTGCTACATCTGCACGATTGCATGGGCATACCTATACCCCCCCACACACACAACAAACACGTTTTTAAAGCTGCTCCCTGCATGCATTCTGTAAGATAGGAAATTGTCACAGAATGAAAATACACAAAGGAGGAAGGGAGGGAGGATGGAGGGAAGGAAGGATAAAAGGAAAATTCTTTGGCTCCAGCTTGCTGGACTCCAGGCCCTAGGTGATATCTGAGGAGCAAGGCACTGGCCAGCTTGTGAGACAGGGGTTCTCAAATCAGTGAAAGTTCTGGAGCCTTCTGTGGTCATTTGGTCCCCATCATGACCCCAAGGACAGCCAACCAGCTCTCTGCACAGTGACTCTGTGCAGCGCTGGCTTTTGCTGCTGTCCCTGTCACCGACACTGGAAGACAGTTGCCAACCATGTTCCCTTGTGTATCCTGCTAACTGACCACAGTGGGCTGCCAGATCAGGGCCTGTCACTGAAAACCCAACACAGCAAGATGCCCCATCCCCTTTGCAACACAGATCACAGCGCCATGCAGGCTTTTATAGATCGTCAATATTTAAACACCTTGCTGGGACCCAGGGGCCTCTGGATCTCAGCTGTCATCTATTTCAGGCCTCATTACACAAACCATTAAACACTCTATCTTCTCATTTTCTCCACTGAAGCTCCCTGGCAAGGCCTTCTCCGGGCGGAGCCCAGATTCGTGCTGAGCCCTGCTCGCCTGGCATCTAGGGGAACAGAGACACTCCGTGGTAGGCTCCCATGGCCCAGATGGTCTGTTCAGCCTGGGGTAACCCTGCCCAGCCACATCCCTGCCTGCCCCTGAAGACAAACCCATCAACGCAGTGTCCTC